GATTAAAGACAATAATAAGATTAATAATAATACTACAACCATACTACATGGGTAAATATATATAGACATTAGATGGCACTGTAAGAATTAGGTGTTCAGCTGAGTGATGGCATGGGGGGGGGGGGCCGAACTGTCCCTGTGTCTAGTTGTTTTGGCCTGCACTGCCCTATAGCACCAAACTGAGGGGAGAAGTTGAAACAGTTTATGTCCAGGATGAGGACCAGCTAATATCTTCTCAGCCTTCCTTCTGAACTGTACAATATACATGTCTTCCATGGAAGGCAGGCTGGTTGAAATTGTTCTTTCTGCAATCTGTTGGAATCTGTACCTGTCCTGTTTGGTCGCTGTACCAAACCAGGCATAGAAGTACAAATGATAGGCTCAATAATTCCTCTGAAGAACTGTATCAACAGCTCCTGGGGAAGTCTGAACTTCTTGAGTTGACACAGGAAGAACATTCATTTGCCATTTTATTTGGAACTTACACCAACAAATAAATTAATTGGAATATACTCCAAGATAAGTAGACATTCGACATACAAGTGCAGCAGGAATATTTTCTTAGACATCATTGAGATCTACAATATGTATGATTTGGCTAAAAGTATTTGCCTTAACATTTGTTTTAGAAAACTATTACTCCTAATACCTTTTTTTGGATAAAAAGTTCTGATCAAATATGGGTAAATGCTTTGTCTGAAGGATTTTTAGACGGAGGGAAGGAAGGAAGGAAGGAAGGAAGGAAGGAAGGAAGGAAGGAAGGAAGGAAGGAAGGTTTTCCAACATTCACTTCCAGTTTCCCAAAAGAAAACTGAATGAGGAAGCCAACAGGAGGCTGGAATTCACTCCCTCTCCCATTGATTTTTTTGCCTGCTGATGGTCATTCTGTATCTCTGTTTTGGCAAGGAAATATCTGTGAAATGATGATCCAATAGTTCATAGGTTGTCTTGTTTTAAATTAATGTATGTTTCAGAGGTAGAAATGCACCAATCTTATGCAATACTTTGAATTAGCAAGTTGATATTTACAACAATGTGGGGGGAAATTTGAGATTACTCTTCAACCCATTTTGTGTATTCTAAACAATGGAAAGCATTAAGGTTTACAATTATTTTACATGCTCAAATAGTTTTCAGTACACAGTTATTGCCTTCAGGTTTAATCTTTGAGAGATGAGTAGAATGTATCAGAAAATGCAATATCTTGTTACCAACTAAGTTTAGTGACAAGAATGTCTATTATTCTGTATCATAAACATTTCAGCTTGTCAGGCAAGGAGAAAGAAAACTGTTTCGTCTCACCACATCTGTAGCTGAAGATGATAAGTTGACATTTGAAGTAGCCTGGTAGGCATTCAAAGCTGTTGTGTTGTCAAAGAACCTTATTGTTGGTATTGCCAACATAGGCAAGTTAATTCTTCAGAAGGTTAAACAATTTTTATGCTATAGAGCATACAGTAGATGTCAGATATTAGTATCACTAAAAGTGCTAGGGCCCATTTCCAAAATAGTAGGCAACATTAAAGCCTATTTGAGTGGTAAAAGCCCACCTTGTGAGATGAGAGGATGCACCACGATCCACGTTGTCCCAGGATCTTTCTTCTGAGAAAGATGTTGCAGCCATGTTGTAAGGAACTCTTATTTGCAGAAATGACATTATAGACAACAAATCCCGCTAGAGCACAAATAGTATTTGAAATTACTTAGCTCAGTATATCTTCTTCTGATATACAAAGCCAAAATGAGAGGCATTTGGCCCTTTCCCAAATCAATCTCTTGATGTAGTATGGAGCCTTTGGACATTGGAGAAGGCTTTCCAACAAAAGAGTCTTCATGGCACTAGACAGCATACCAAATGGTGAACCCTGATTGTACAGGCAGAAACCCATTTTTTTAGACAATGAAGAAGATCAAAGGATTTACACAACATGCTTTAATTACTTTTAGAGTTTTCTCTCAAATAAATGTTTCTCTCTAACATTTCACATTTAGATAGAACCTTAAAGCATCTCATACTGCCTTCCATTAATGTGGCACAGCTATCAGGCTTCAATGTGTAATTTAATAACAGTTTTCTCATACTTGGCCTCATATGAAATTAGTAGCAGATTTTACTTTTATGTTGAGTAGATCGTTCCCATTCTGAGAATGCACTGCAATTTTTCCTGCAATAAAACAATTCAATTTTTTTTAAAAAAAAAAAATTAAATTTCTTCTCAGAGGGCAATCAATGTAAATCAAAACATAACTTTATTTAAATTGTAAGTCTTGGCTGATGCATCAAGCCATTTTGTTTTCATAGTAATGCGTACCTCTTCTATCAAACAATCATACAGCATTTTAGTAAGGCAGAAAAAAAAGCCCAATGTCCGAATGTGATTTGCTTTTTAAATTAATATGGATGGAGCAAATTATAATCCATAAATGACTACTTAAATACCAATGCTAACATTACAGTCGAAGTAGCAACTGTAATGAACAAACAATTCATCCATGGTTTGTTTAATTAAATGTCTCACCATTTGGGTTCTTTGGACTATCTGTCTGTTTGTCTACCTATCTTTCTGATTGTGAGTTCTTGACTTACAAGTGCATTTTAAGCAAATTAAATTTTACTGGCAAAGTTTAATGAAAATTTGAATAAGGAATAACAAAAATGCTAACCATAAGAAATGCATCTTTATGTATCTGTTTGTGTGTTGAAGGATATGTGAATCAGAACAGCTGGAGTGTAGACAGCTGGACTGTGAACTAGATTTTTTTTCTTTTTTGCTGATTAGGGCGTGTACTCATAATTTTGTATGTTGTTAGGAGAAAAAGAAGCTCTTCTTAGAAAGTTTAAAATTAACAATACAGCAAGATCAACCCAGAACTTAACAATTTAAGGGAAATGAACAAAAATACACAAATAAGCTGATTTTTTTTTCAAAGATAAAATCTCTTAAAACTTAATTTTTAATAAGAGATACATGGATGAAATAAGAGTGGGAGCAAAATGCAGCAGCCATCGACTCACCACCTGTGTATTTTATTTCTTTCAGCTGTCACTTGGACTTCCTTATGTATTTGCACTGGGGCCACGGAAATAGGTAAGATTACTGAACTTTTAAAATTTGGTTATGACAGGCAGTAGTGAGAGATGATGAGACTAAATTGCAAAAAATAATTAACTTTGGTAGCTTTGCCAGAAATGCATATCGTATTTCAGAAGTTTGGGGGGCGGGGGGGAGAAGGATTTTAGCCCTGAATAAGGAGGAAGTGGATTGAGATAGTAATACTGTGGATTTTGAATAAAACATGTCATACAGTTCAGTCAAGGATTTACTTACTATTGTTTACTATATGTGTGGTGTGTTTGCATTTCCTATTACCAGTAGAAGCATGTGAGAACATGACTGTATGTAGATTAATACTAAACAAAATGCTAACTACTCAGTAATACCATGTTTCCCCAAAAATAAGGCAGGGTCTTATTTTCTTTTGACCTCCCCCAAAAATATAAATGCTTCGCCTTATTTACAGGGAGGTCTTATTATTTTTGAGGTGTAGGAGATGGTGAGCATGGTCACCTCACGGCTGCTGCTGTGCTGCAATACTTTGGGGAGGGCTTATTTTAGCACATGTGCTCAAAAGCCTGATTGAGCTTATTATCCGGGGAGGACTTATTTTGAGGGAAAGAGGCAGAGGTGGGTTCCTCCCAATCCTGTCCGGTATGCCAGAAGAGGTAGTGAAAATCTGGCATATTGGATAGGACCGGTAGTAAAAATGGTGGCTTGGCCATGCCCCAGAACCTGTTCTCCCATCAGAAGCTTTGTCAGAAGCTTTTTTTAAAAAGTTTTTTTCCCCTGCCAGTTCAGGCAAGGAGGGAAAAAGCTTTAAAAAGTAAGAGAGGGAGAGGGAGGGAGGGAGGGAGGGAGAGGGGAAGGAAGAAAGGAAAGGGAGAAAGAGAAAGAAAGAAAGGAAGGAAGGAAGAAAGAAAGAAAGAAAGAAAGACAGAAAGAAAGAAAAAAAGAAAGAAAGAAAGAAAGAAAGAAAGAAAGAAAGAAAGAATGAAGAAATTCACGGGAGATTCAGCAAAGGAGAAAAACAAATGCTGTTGCTTTAAATTGGAACTGAGCATGCCTGGCTGTGCAATTCTGGGAGTTGAAGTCCACAAGTCTTAAAGCTGAAAATTTTGGAGTTCTGCTTTAAATTGAAAAGCTGCTTGAGGAGGTTGCTTCCCATAGAGGAAGGAAGGAAGGAAGGAAAGAAAGAAAAAAGAAAGAAAGAAAGAAAGACAGCACAACAGCACAGCAATTTAGGGCTAGAAGGCTACTCAGAAGTCATCTAGTCCATCCCCCCTACTGCAGCAGGAAATCTTACATTGTTTGGATTATTTTGGTTCCTCTAACACAGAGGAAAATTGTCAGAAAGGAGAAGGAGTTTACTAGGACAAGACTGCCATGCAGAGGAAGGCAGAGATAGTCCTTGATTTATGACTACAATTGAGCCAAAAATTTTGGTTGCTGAGCAAGAGCGTTGTTAAGTGAGCTTCACCATATTTTACCCAATCCATGACATCACCTAGTGAATGACATCAAGTTGGCCACACAGTCACATGACTGCTAAGCCATGCCCACAAAATAGGCCATGTCCATAGAATAGATAGTAAAAAGTTTTGAAACCCATCCCTGGAAACAGGGTAAGATATTTTTAAGCACACAAGTGCAGCTACCTGAAAAAGTATTAACATAAGGAAATATCTACCAGTCAAAATGTAACATATCTGCAGATACTGATCATTTGAAAATTTCTACAAAATTGGTTCATATAACAGGAACAAAACAATGGCAACAGGTAAACCATATGTGAGAAAGTAAAGCAGTACAAAAATGTTTTCTATAGAGGCATCCATATGATTTCTAGCAGTCAATGCTCTCCCTGTACAGACTTTTCAGAGTGGCTGATAAGAGATGGACCTGCTAATATGACACAGGATATGCTTAAAAAAAAAAGTTCAGCAGCAGTGGTTAATCAGTATAGTTACAGCTTATCTTGGAAAGCTGCTCACAATTGAAATGGGGTGAAAGAAAATCTCCAAAGATTAGACTTTCTGCTGGTTTGAGATGTTATGATTTGGTGGTATCTCTTAGGCACATATAAAGAAAGGATCATTTGAAGCGAAGCTCACTACAACATCAAAGAGACAACAATACAAGAGTTTTAGGGCTATAAACAAAGCAAGCAAGTATATTTATTTGATCTTCTAGTTTCTAATTTTTAAATCTTGTGGAGAGTTAAGAAATGTAAGTGCGTATTTATCTAGAACGGTATAAAAGACATCAAGGGAAAGTGACCTTTTAATAACTGGAGGCAACTGTTTGTTGGAGAGTTATAATCAATGTACACAATATTTATAGCTATTGAAAAAGAAATGCCCCTAAGCATATATTAAGAAGCCGATAAAATGCAGCAGGTGAGTATTATGAAAGAATTATTTTTAAAAAGCAATTGTTTTTCTTTCTCTCATTTCTTACTGCATACTCCACTCAAGTGAAATTGCTTTGAAGACATTTACATTGTGGCAGATTGTGTTATGACATTATGAAGATATTAAGAAAACCATATGCTGTTTGCTTTTATATTCTGATAACAAATCTGCTAATTCCACAGTGGATAGGGGATGAGCAACTAGGAAGCTGCCTGAAGGTATCTAATTAAGGAGAAAAGAAAGTCTTAAAAGAGCAAGAAAGAACTTTCTCTTTGTGATTTTCTTTCTTTCTGTTTACAAGGATATATTGCAGTTCCAATTAAAGGAACTTTCATGAGTTTGTTTGTTGGTTTGAATTACACTTTCATTTTTCTTGTAAGGAAGACACATGAAAGGATTGCTAGCAGTATCCATAGCTGCCTTGTAGTTATTGCTTATGAATTAAGTTAAAGGCACAAAAATAAACGTTAGAGAGAACTCAGATGTTACTTTTGGCAAAGAACATTGAACTAAGAATGCATCACCATAAACTCCCACATTTCATTATGCACATCTGTCAAAAGTTTTTGGATAAATTTCAAGGAAACATTCTCAGTTGGTAAACAATTAAGGAGAAGTTGTAGAATCAACTGTTCTTCCAGCCTCCTTCTGAAATTCTAATTCTGCCTGTATAAAAATCCATTCATCTCATTGACTTTCCACGGCCAATTGTATGTTATATTTTAATTTGGACATCATACCTATATTGCTGACCCTACTGAAATATTTCACAAGAGCAGGGGAGTTGGACTAGAAGAGCTCCAAGGGTCCTTTCACCTCTGTTATTCATTATTCTGTAATGTTAAGGAAAGACCCAAGTATTTTGATAAAGCTAAATAATTTTCCAGAATTCAGAGGGAAGATGCTTGTGTTCCCTGATATGGATGGGTTGTGTGAAAACTAGTCATAAACAGAAGCAGCATGAACATTTGGTTCTCTGAGAGAAACCCAGATTAGATTTGATCTGCTTTGACTATATACTTTATTGTTCATCTATATCTCTATTGCTTAACAGATAATAAAAAAAGATGCACTGCAGGTTTGCAACACCAATGGAAATGTACCTTTTTTCCTGAATAGTATATATACAGACACTTATGCACAATATGGCAAAGAAGTGTGAACGTACTACTGCAAGGTGTTCTCAACTCATTTTCTTATTATTTAAGAGCTTCATGTTACATTTTGTTCAAAGGATGTGCAGACAAGCAATGCCAAAACACACAACCATTTTCTCTGTCATAATTCAAAAACTCATTTGCACAATGAAAGAGAATTCTCTTTTCCTATATCTTTTCAGATTTTCTGAAACCTGGATTTTCTAACTTTTGATTTCAATTTAATTTAATCTAAATATTTTAATAAATTACCTTTTTTAAATGTTAAAATGAAACAATAGAAAAACATATGCTATTGATAATCTTTAAAAAAAAAATCAGATGTCCATACTCTGTTTGACTATATTGTGAATAGTTATGAGAAGAGATAAAACTTCCCAGGTACACAAACCAATGGAATTGAAATTATACTTTCCAATATACAGGGTGTTCCAAAAATCAGTCTCTATAGACAAATCACAATTCATGAATTCATTCATTTATTTATATCCCACCATTATTTTTTAACAAATAACTCAAGGTGGCGAACACATCCAACACACCTTCTTCCTCCTTTTTTTCATACAACAGCCCTGTGAAGTGAGTTGTGCTGAGAAAAAGTGCCTGGCTCAAAGTCACCCCGCTCGCTTTCATGGCTAAAGTGACACTTGAACTAATGGTCTCTTGCTTTCTAGCCTGCTGCCTCAACCAAGCTGGCTTTCTCAGCAAAAATGTTATTGTACTTATGGATGTTCAAAGGTCATGTATCAAATGAGTAACCGTTTGGAAGAAAATGGGAACCACACTGAACAGGGGCCTGACGTTTAGTACACTCTGTGTGTTCCGCATCTCTTACACATTTGAGCCCAAGTGAAAGGTCCCAATACTCCTCCAGAATGTTTATGATTGGAGACACTTGATTGCCTATTTTGCCTAAATAGTTTTCTCCTTGTTCACTAATATAATTGTATTTTGTATTAGGAGGTATCAATAGGACCCCATTTTTCAAGGGAGACAAACATATAATTTTGAAATTTTGCAGGTTTGTGCATGACCTAATGGTTCATTGGAAAGTAATATGCTGGGGGAGGAAGTAAGAAGTCCACGGGGGATTTTTGGCTCATATCTTGTAATGGGATAGCTTTTTTGTCTAGTTTAGTGATGGAACTGCATATAGGAAGAAATCATTATCTGGTTGGTTTTAAAAGGGTGTCTCTATCGAGATTGATTGAAAATTTGTTCCAGATGCAGAAAATGCAAATACTGTGCTATGCATTAGATGGAATGAAAAAATTGCAGGGATTTAGTCACATGGCTTGGCACTTTGTTCTTATTAGAAAATCAACAATGAATAACAAGGACTTGACAAGCTGTGGCAAACTTATAAGAACAATTAATCGGTGAACTGATGCAATGTTTTACATTTGCTAGGGCTTATTGGTACTCTAATGTATCTTGGCTCACTAACCATCACCCATAGCCA